AAATTTTTAGTTTTCTGGATGATTTTTCTTGTCCTTTATATATAAGGATCCTAAAACTAACTATCAAAGAATTATTCTTATGTGAATTTTCTCTTGGGAGTGAGAGTGAGAGTATTTTTTGAGAGCATTTGGGTGTGAGGATTGAGAGATCTTGCAAGGGAAATTTGTGAAGGGTTCACAAGGTTACCCAAAGGTAAGGATCTCTTTGTAAGTTCTTCAAATCTCTATCCTACTTCTTTGAATACTCTTGATAGAAGATCTTTGGAGAAGATCCGATACTCTGCCATCATCAAGAGGGTGAGAAAGGATACTGGTACTATGTCGTCACCAACAGGGTGAGAAAGGACATTGGTACTCTGCCAATAATAGGAGAGCGAGAAAGGATGATGGTACTCTACCTCTTCGGGGTTAGTGGATGAGAGGTTATTGTAAGGGCTTCTCCACCTTGCTGTGGGAGCAAAAAGAGAGTCACTTTGGTATAGTGTAATACTTGAAGGAGTCATCAGTGAGTTGATATAGGTCTAGTTGGACCGAATCACAATAAAATTATGTGATATTCTGTCTTTATTTTTACTGCAGTTTTTATTTTTTGCATATTTACTTTTAGTGGTTGGAAAATTATTTTGAAAAAATTATCATTGTATAAAAGAACTTAAATTGTTTTTCTAAAAATTTAAGATATTTTTTTAAATAACCAAGTCACCCCCCCCCCTCTTGGTTAGCCATGGGACAAATCTATTTGGTCTAACAACCAATTCAAACTTTTAGATGGAAGCTTTGATATGACACCATATTATCCGTCTAAATTAAATAAAAATATTAGAGGGATAAGATTTTATCTCTCCTCTAGCAACTTAAGATGAAAAATTTTAGTTCGTTTTAAACTTCATATAGAATGGATGTTAGGGCATCAAGCTAACCACAAAGCTATTTTTAAAGTCAAACATTCATTGTAAGTTTTAAGACTTCATACAATGAATGGGACATAATATTTTAAACCCTAAATCTAAGGTTAAGGTTAGTGATTTACCTCAATATAATGGGTATTTAGAAAAGCTTTCATTTCATTATTGTTCCTTAGCTCCTATATAATAAATTAATTGAAGAATAGAAGATCGGAGGAATTTTGGATGAAGAGTAAAAAAGCATAGGATAGAATAGTGCTAAGACCTCTCTTAATGTTGTAGGTGGTAACTTCCAAACAAGAAAGAAAACATTAGGGAAATGTAGAGGAACATGTGAAAGTGCAATATAAAATTAGAGGAAGCCTAGAGGAGCTCTAGGATGAGAACTAAGTGTCAATGAAAAGTTAGCCTTGTTTATCTTATTCTAACAATTTGAAGCTAAATCAATGGTTTGGATTCATTAACGACCTTGGCTAGATGCTTGACAAGTGTTGTAGACCATTAGGATGGCAAAAATGGGTAGGGAAGTGGTCTGAAAAGTGAGAAATGACTTAGGTTATTTTATATAGGGGGGGGGGGCACTTGGGCCAAGTTCAAGCTGAACCAAGGTATGTGTTTGGGTTTAGTGAGCTCTTAGAATGTTATAGAGTCTAGTCCAACAAAGCAATCCGATTTACTAGAAAGGAATTTGATTGTTTAGGTAGATTTGACTATTTAACCAATTTTGGACTTTTTGACCTCATTAACTAGTCAATATGGGTCGAGGCACCTAAGAATGACCCTAGGGAGTCTCTAAAGACTAGTTGAATCACGTTTAGGTAGTTTAGTTGAGTGAAGTTGAGGTTTATGTAAAGAAGACATGCTTATCTTAGGTTTGACATTTCTATGGGGGTTTACTAAGTCAATCCACCATGAAGTGATAAGGTTAGGGTTTAGATGTATTTAAGAGGTCAAATGGACCAAGTTTTATCAATGGGTTAGGTCCAATTGATCATATATATAAGTTTGACCCGGACTAGGTTGATTTGAATAGTATAGGGTTGTGTTGACTTGGTCAACCTTTGATTAAGGGAGGTGGACCAAACATGTCTAAAACCTTAGTATCTTTGATAAGTTCAATTGAATGAAGTTTATGGAGTGATACATAATATAGAAAGCTTATGTAAGGGTTTAACATATTAGCTAGTTTGTGCTAGCTCAATTGGGTCAGCCTCTAGCTTAGGGAGCTAGGGTTGATGAGTTTAGTATATAGAGTTCCTACGTTTGAAGTTCATGCAAAGTCTAGGGTCAAAAGGCTAGTGAGATGTATAGTGTAGGCCACTAAGCAAGCTTATTGTAGGTTAGGGTTTAGCCACTCGCCTTTAAGTTAGCCAAGGCATGGTTTAGGGCTTAGGATAGCTTAGAGGTATTTAAGATTTGGTTCAAGGTGTCTGGGTCCACTAGCTAGGTATAGGACATCTAGACTATTCATCAGATATCAAGAAAGGCACTAGTCAAGTAAGTATTTGATAGGCCAAGGTAAGGGACCTAGGTCTGAGTCCTTGGTGTTTTATAAAACTATTTAACACTATATACATGTGATGTGAAGCTTTCGATGGAGTTTTAGAGGTTTGGAGTCAACAAGAATAACATGGAATGTAATAATAACTTTAAGAAAGTTGATCATAAAAGGCTTTCATTGGTGCACAAATTAGAAATTATGTTTGAAAGTTAAGTTTATGCTTTGTTATTGATGGGTGGTTCCACCTTAAGAGAAACATTGTTATATTTTCTATGTTTATAATATTATTTGAAGAAGAGAGAATTTTTATCTCTATAGCTTTTGAGAGGGTCAACATGGGAGACAATAATTAAGAGGTTTGATAAGGACATGATCCATATTTAGAGGCATGTTCTGAGATAAAAGGATAGGAAAGCTCTAACCCAATACATTAGTAGTGGATTTATCAAATCATTGTAATACTAGGTTATTTATCCATTTTAATGGTGGCAAGGACACATGTAAAATTCTTTTTATAGAAAGCTCCTAAGATGCTAAGTTGAGAGTGCAACAAAGTGCTCATTAACAAAGACTTTTTTTTTTCACTTATCCCTAATAAATATATAAGTAATATGCACATTGTTATATTTAAAATATTTGTTTTGGATAATTAGTTGTGAAAAGTAATTTTGAATATTTCATTGCATTATTTTTTTAAAGGTGATTATTAACTCTACATTTGTGCACAAAATCAAGGAGTAAATTTTCTTAAGTCTATTATACATAATCCTCATTAATCTTTCTCAGTAGAGTTGTTAGAGAAAAGAAGACCACCATACCACTAGAGGGTGTGGTGGTCAATTAGAGGAAATAAAGGAGGAGGTTCTTGGAGGAAAAAACACTGATGAGTCATACCCTCTTCCAATAAATTTTTAGAATTTTTTAAGTTAACTGCAAACTCTTTGTAGTAGTTGGAAAATTCAAGAATAAAGAACTTTGAATTGAAGAAAATTTGAAAGCCCTGGTTGACTTTACTTGGAAAAATAAGAGAATTTTCCACCTTGTTGGCCAAGATAATAAATCAGGTAGTCATATTAACACTGATAAGAATATTATCATTGAGACCCATTATATTTCTCCACCTACTATGATTATAAATAAAAATGATGTGAGTTGAGATTTCAAACAGTGATGATACACAAATAGCAGAGATTGTGTATAAAAATTTTATGAGTTTCATATAAGAAGAGCCCTAAGTGAAAAAGCATTTGGCTAAAGATTTCATTGGTTTTTCTTGCAATAAGCACAAACTAGTGGATATATATGCCATTAATTATTTTTATCAATAAATGAAGAGCATGAGTCTTAATTTAAGTTTTGGATGATAGTGATTATTGAAAACTCAAAGGAAAAGAAAATTACAGTGAGAAGTGGAAACATAAGGAGATTTCAATAGCTAAATTAATTTTTTTTTTTGATAGTAATTAAATCTAATATTAATATTAAATAGTCATAGTGATACATTTTTTCTTTAAATTTAAATTATTATTTGTAATCTAGATTATTAATTTTTTACACATTGATGAATTTTGCTTTTAAAAAAAGAAGTGGCTCTGGCTTTATCCAAAAGTATTTGGGTTAGATATTACTATTTTTAATGAAGTATTTTATCAACATAGTAGAACAATAGTTTCTGAGATTACAAAGTAGAAAAAGTTGATGGATAAGATCAAGTAGCATGAATCGGTGTTTGTATGTTATTAATAATAATGAGAGTATCTTGAGGTGCTGAGCAGCTATTGACTTAATATACTATCCATTAAAATGGAATAAGGTCTATTAGATACTATACGTAATAACATTTTCTAAAAAGTTACTAACTTGGTATGAATGTGACCCATCCGTTGTTAAAACTCATATTTAGGTCAAGCAATGACCCCACTCTACAAATATTTCTTTCTAACAATGATCCTTGTTCATCCTTGGCCAAATCTCTATTTCAAGAGTAGTTCAAACCTCATTCCATATCCAATGGTTGACCTCTATATTCGAAACAAAAATTAGGATTAGTTCAAATAGAGTTTGAAAATTGAATAAATTTTGCTTTCCCATCATAACTTAAGACTATCATCACTAGAAAGAACAATGAATACATTTTAACTTAATTAATAAAAAATGAAACAAAATTGTTGTTCAACAAAAGGTTAATGAAGGGATCACGATGAACAAACGTTCCAAGTGATCAGGATGAAGTCTATGGTAGATTGATTAATATAATTTTGAACTTCTACAGATAAAATATGCTTTGAAGAGGAGATTTTGAGATGCTTTTTTCATTGAACATTCACGGGACAATGATAAACTATTAATTATTTTAATTAAAGAAGGATATTTTCATCATAAGATAAAATATTATTATATTTCTCCAAAAATAACAATCATATTTGTTGAAATGTAATTATTATAAAAGAAATAAACTTATTTTTTATATGATATTATTTATAATAAAAAGGGATTTAAATGGGTGTAATAAAATCCTTATATAAAAAAATTAAATATCATATTATAAACATATAAAAATTTGATGAATTCATGTAATTTAACTTTCCAAAGAACCCAACCCAAAATGGCAAAATAAACAAACAAAACAAAAGTATCTCCGCAACGCTCTATTCTTTCACATTTTTCCGATCTTCGAAATCTTCGCCAACATCGTGCCGATGGCGGATGGTAGTGCCAAGCAAGGACGAAACCCTAGAACTGTTCTCCTCCTGCGCCCCACCTTCGAAGCCCTTGAAGATGTCCTAGCCAAACGCTTCCACCTTCTCCGAGCCTGGGAGTCGCCGCTGCCCCTCGCCGAGTTCTTGGCCGCACATGCCACTGCTATCCGAGCGCTGTTTATCCGAGGCAATGGCAGCGTTTTCGTTGACGCTGAAATCCTCTCGAGTCTTCCGAATCTCGAAATTATTGTGACCAATTGCGTTGGTCTGGACCTTATCGACATGGCGGAGTGCGCAAAGAGAGGCGTCGCCGTCGCCAATGCTGGGAATGTGTTAACGGAGGACGTGGCTGAGTATGCTGTTGGTCTCCTAATGGACGTACTCCGCCGTATATCTTCCGCCGATCGATGCATTCGCGCTGGTCTCTGGCCTATTACGGGCTTGTTCCGTCTTGGCTCCAAGGTATTTAATCTGTTTCTAACCTGCATATAAATCCTTTTTTATGTGATTTGTCGTTTGAATGAATAATTTGGTAAATATTAGTAGCATATAGAATTTCTGAATAATTCTGGCGCTTTATAATTATGCATTTTAGAAGTTGCATAAAGAAGTGTTTGTGGTTTATACCTGCATATAAATCTGAAATTAAAGAGGTGTTCTGAACAATACCTGCATATAAACCTGTATAATTATGCTGTATAATTATACATGAATACTTTTTCCTCTCTCTTTCTCTCTCTTACCAGTTTGGGTTGACCCGGTTTTGAACTAATCTAGAGAGAGAATGTCCCGGTTTCTAGTGAGAGAAAGTACTCCTACAATTTTGAATTTCTGTTAGAGATTTGTTCACCGGTGGTTAGGCGGCCATTGTCAGGTGGTTCGCTATGGCGGGGAATGATCGGAGACTACCAGCGGCGGTCATTCCTTCCTTTGTAGTTGATGCTAATAAGACTTCCTTGAACCTCAAATCTAATGGTGGAAGAGTTTCGTCTCTTCAAAGTTTGGATATGACATTTACCAATAAAAGCAAATATGCATTTGGAGCTCCTCTGATAATTAAAGAAGTTTTTGACTCTTCTAAGCCCACTGGCATCTCATTAGAAAGGGCAAGAATGTGATTGTTGATAATCAAGATGCTGACTACAAAACTTCTCATATTCCACATAAATTCAAAGCCGACAGCATCCTTCATGAAAGACCTTCTGATATAGAAGCTTCCTCATCTTCTGAAGCTGAATTAAAGGTGAATGGATTTTCTAATTATGTTAATGGATCAAAGAATTTCATACAAGAAGAATGCAAGGTCCTTTCATTTGATGGAGAAGTTGTTCAAACAAACAGTAAGATTTCAGAACCAAATGATGCTTGTGTTAATGTCTTGGAAGATATTCCTCGTCAAAACAGTGTAGTTAATCCAGAAAAATCTATTCCTAATCCAATTAGTGTTTGGAAAAAACCTCCAATTATTAAAGTTGTGAATAATGATATTAATATTGAGATGTCAGAGGATGGAGTTGCTGCCTAATTTGATTCTGAAAATGAAAAAGCAAATATTTTCAGACTTCGGAATTATTTAGTAATCAAGGTGTTTGGTAATTTCATTCCTTGTTCTTTGATTAGTTCAGAGTTAGGGAATCAATGGAGTAAATTCGGATCATTTCACCTAACAAGTTTGGGTATGGAATGGATTCTCTATTCTTTTCAATCTGTGGAAGTAAAGGAATCAGTTCTCAATGGAGGCCCTTGATTTGTTGGTAATCGTATTATTGATATGGATAATTGGAATCTTAAATTCTCTCTATTAACTATGAAGGGTTTATTTTCTCCAATATTGACCCGTTTGCCTCATCTTCCTTTAAATTGTTGGGATGAAACTAACATTATTAGAATAGCTTATTTGGTTGGAACCCCATTATATTTATGGATGGTAGAAGAAGAGAATTTGCGAGGGTTTGTGTCCGTATTAATCTTGATGCTCAAATTCTTGCGGGTGTTTGGATTGAAGGCTCTCAAGGATGATTTTTTTTTCTAGAAAATCGAATATGAAAAGATTTCTACATTCTGCTGTAATTTTGGAAGAATTGGTCACAATCATCTTAACTGCAAAAAGAGTAATGAGGATCAAGATAATGTGCATTCATCATCTATTCCAACTAATCAGAAAAATCTTGAAAAAGATGGAAATTCTGATTTATTGAATAACATTGTTTTTGCTGAAATAGAGCTTAACAAGACCAATAATGATTCTAATTCAGACGGTCCTTGGATTCATGTGAGCTATAGAAAGAAAAATTTTAAATCTATCAATAGATTTAAAACCAATTTTAGTCAGAAGAAATCTGAGTTTAGTTCTGGTATCAGAGAAACACATTTTGTCAAAAAAGGTTCTCATATTCCTCTTGCTGCATAAGAAGAACTGATAATGAAAGAAGAATTCAAGAATGTGGATGCTGGTGTTGTTGCTGTAGAAGGTAATCATGATAACATTGAAGCTGATGTAGATGATATTGCAAAAGAAGATGATGATAAGGAGGGAACTGTTGCTGTTAAAAGAAATGCTGAAGTTTGTTTATGTTAAAATACATCCCGAAGCTCAATTTGTTGCTGATTCTGTTATAACATTGTCTAAAGTTGATGATGTTGCTAAAAGCGATAAATCTGTTGATTTAATTTGCATAAATAAAGTTGCTGGAGTAGCTGTCAGTGGTTTTTCAGAAGAGTTTGTTGCTGTTGATTCTGGTGGTTCGAAAGCTAGTAATACAAAAAAAATTCTTTTTGTGTATGATCACAAGGTACAAAATTCATCTTCTTCTTATTTTCCTTGAGAATGTTGAGTATTTCTATGGAAAAGGAACCTCTGATGATGTTTCTCATGTTTTTAAATTGTTGGAAGAGATTACACCTAAATCTCTTCAACATAAGAATAAACTATCTAAATAATTGAAGTTGCTAAGTCCTATTAAGGACAACCATAGAACATGAAAAAGAGGAAGTAATGATAGGGTTGGGGCTTCATCCCCATTGTATTCTTAATTTCTTCTATGTTATTTTGGAACTATAGGGGAGCTAAAAAAAAGAAGCATCCTATTATTTGAGAAGTTTGGTTTTGAAAAATAATGTATTCTTTATTAGTTTAATGGAAGCTAAATTACAAACTATGGATAATGTAGACGTAAAAAGAATAATTGGAGATGATTGGGATTTTTTTTTTTCATTTTGCTGCTACTAGAACTTCAGGTGGTATTCTTGCTCTATGGAGAAAGAAAATTTCTTTTTCTATTTTAAATTCCTCCAATCAATGTGTTATTGGAAACTTAATCTCTCCTAATGGTATTTCTTAGACGATATCTATTGTCTATGGGAATAAGGATGCTCATTTAAAAAGAAAATTGTGGAAAATGATAGAAGAATATACTTATAGTGATAACCCTTGATGTGAGGAGATTTCAATTGCATATTATCAAAGAAAGAAAAAAGAGGGGGCAAAAGGTTCTTGTTTTCCTAAGGTCATCAAGAGATGAAGGAATTCATTACCAAGAATGATTTTCATGATATTGGTATAGTGAGTCCTAAATTTATTTGGTGTAACAATAAAGAAGGCCTTGCTCGCATATGGGAAAGATTAGATAGAATTTGTTTAAATTCTAAAGACTTGTAAAATGTTCCTTTTCCTATGATAAGACATTTATCAAGAGTCGCTTCTGATCACTGTCCATTATTTCTTAATTTAAACAATTCTAATTGTTTAAACAAAAAAAATATCAAATTTGTGAATATATGATGTTCTTATGAAGCTTCAATGGGTATTGTATCTAAAGCTTAGAGAAAACATTATTATGGTTCTGTAGCCGATATTTTTCAAAGGAAGGTTAATAGATTGCTTAAATGTTTGTTTTATTGGAGCAAAAATAAATTGAAGAAGCTGATCAATCTCAAATCTATTTTACAAAATGCAATTTTGCTATTGCAAGGGGAGGAAATTAATTTGAATGTGCTAAATCCAGAAAAACTGCTTGAGCTGAGGCAAAAAATTCATAAATTGAATATAACTCTTGCTAGACTTGCAACTTGGTGGAGACAACGATCTAAAACATAATGAATGGAGGTGTCACAACTCTCGTTTTTTTCATGCATATGCTACAGCTAGAAGAAATGGTAATATGATTAATCAAATCTCTTATCCTAATGGTCGTATTGAGACAGATCCTTATTTAATTCTTTCAGCTTTTGAGATTTTTTTTTTAATGAATAAAAGGAAAAGGCGTCAGTGTAATTTACATAACTGGCCTTTTGAAATCAATGATCAATTGAATGATGAGATGAAGCAATTTTTGAAATCTAAATTTACCAAAGAGCTTTATACCACTGTTATGAAGATGGGCAATAACAAGTCTCCTAAATCAGACGGTGCAAATAGGGCTGCAAACGAACTGAGCCGAGACGAGTATGTGAGTGTTCATGTTTGTGTTCATTTAATATTAGCTTGTTCAAGTTTGGTTCATGTTTGTTCGAGCTTTATTGTTTGTGTTCATGTTTGGTTCATTTAAATTAATGAATGTTCATGTTCGGTTCATGTTCAGTTCATGTTCGGTTCGTTTAGTGCTTATCGAGCTTTAAACAAACAAGCATGAACGAGCTATAAACGAGTTCTACTTTTAGATGTTCATTAACTTAACAAAAGAACATTATCGAGCTTCCTAACAAACGATTACATCGAGCATGTTTGCTAATATATTTAACGATTTTTTTAAAACTATCAAACAAACACGTTAATTCCTATTTTTAAGAATAAAGGTGATGCACAAGATTGTGCGAATTATAGAGGAATTAAGTTAATGTGTCATACTTTAAAACTATGGGAGCGAGTTATGGAGCATAGGTTGCGGCATGATACTAATGTTTCTCAAAATCAATTTGGATTCATGCCGGGTAGGTCGACTATGGAAGCCATACATTTATTAAGAGGTTTGATGGAGAAATATAGAGAAAATAAGGAGGATCTACATATGATATTTATTGATTTAGAAAAAGCATATGAGAGGTTCCAAGAGATGTGCTATGGAGAGTTCTTGAAAAGAAAGGAGTTAATAATGCTTATATTCAAATCATTAGAGATACGTTTGCAGGAGCGATTACTTGTGTTCAAACACAAGGTGGTTTGACCAAATATTTCCCTATTTCGGTTGGGTTACATCAAGGATCAACCGTAAGCCCGTGGTGCTGAATGTTGGCCATTAAAAGAGAAGCATAATATTAAGTTAAGTGTGGCAGAAATGAGGATGCTCAGGTGGATGAGTGGCTTTACCCTTAGAGATAGGATACGAAATGAGCATATACGTGAAAAGGTTGGAGTAGTTCGAGCAGAAGATAAGATTAGAGAGAGTCACCTTAGATGGTTTGGTCATATAAAACGGCGGCCTTCCAATGACCCGGTTAGGAGAGTAGAGGTATTAGATTTGACT